ACATGTTCGATAGCTAGAAACAGGAATTTTTGGTGTATTTAGGATAAACTACTCCTAATATTGATGCTCTTTAAATTATAAACAAATGCTTGATAGCTAGAAACAGGAATTTTTGGTGTATTTAGAATAAACTACTCTAATTTGATGCTCTTTCAATTATAAATAAATTGTCTATGGTTAGAAACATGAATTTTTGAAGTATATAAGATAAACTACTCCTAATATTGATGCTCTTCAAATTATAAACAAATGCTTGATAGCTAGAAACAGGAATTTTTTGTGTATTTAGGATAAACTACGCCTAATTTGATGCTCTTTCAATTATAAATAAATTTTTCATTAATAAAAACATGAATGTTTGGTGTATCTAGGCTAAACTACCCCTAATATTGATGCTCTTCAAATTATAAACAAATGCCCAATAGTTAGAAACAGGAATTTTTTGCGTATTTAGAGTAAACTACCCCTAATATTGATGCTCCTTCAATTACAAATAAATTCTTCAATCTCCTAAACGTGATTTTTTTGTGTATTTATCTGTCGCTCCCCCCATCCCGAATATTACAAGATTAATCAACGTCTCGGCCGGTCACAGAGCTCCGTGACTCTTTCATCGCGCGTAAATCACAGGATGGGGAAACGCGGTCACGCCAGCGGGCACCAACAGAGAAAGCCGTGCGACAAGATAAAAACCGCGAGCCGGTGGTGTCGGTCGGTCGTGCTCGCATCGAGGAGCTAATTTTTTAAAGAGCACAGCGAAAAGGGGGTGCGAACAGGCGGAGCAACCCACCTCCATCCCTCCACCCTTCCATCCCTCTCTCTCTTTCTCTCTCTTTCCTTCTCCGAGGGCTCGATTCGTTGCACGCAACCCGTTGGAAGAGCTACGGTGGTCGGCTCGTATTTCTCGCCCTCCAACAAGATACCAACCACCTTTAGCCCCATCCTCGGGTTCGCGGGCCACACGTACGGGGCACGGAGACGGACCGAGAGGGTAGATAACGTCTCCTACGAATGTGCGCGCCTTTTGCGCAAGGCGAAAAGCGCGCGCACACCGACGGGTGTGACTAACTCGGCACACTCGCACGCGCCTTTTCGTACCCACCGAGCCCACTCGGGTGCTCTGGGTTGGGTTCGGAGATAGGCAGAGGTTTCCTCGAATAACGGATGACGAATGGACGCTCTGTTTGTTCCATTGAACAGGTGTATACCGGCGGACTTTCGTTTTCTAACGCGGGACGTAAATGGTAAATGTGCACGTTGCTCGAAACGTAAGGTAAAAGGGAATTATTCAGGTGGACTGTTTTAAACGCCTCACCCTGTATAAGACCCTTAAAAGAATTTCTTTTTCCATAACATTCTGGAATAAATATTCTTTAATTATTCCATTCCCGAAAATATGGACTTTGGTACAGTTATTTGCTGAAGTTGTACTTTGATGTAATAAATAAACATTTGATAAAATTGCATAGGTACTCGTTTTCGAAAAAGGAAGTTTCAAAAGCCCGGAAAAATTCGTTCCACTCCGTTACTCTGTAATACGGAAGTACGTTTCGATTTCGCCAATCAATGTCGCAGCGATCGCTTTCGAAAAATTTTTCCCCGGGAAAACCACACTCGCTCGCGAATATCCCGATCGATGGATCAGCGTGGGCGCTTTTGCAATTTCTCGAACATTGCCATCGCGAGCGCTGAAAAATTCATCGCGATGGATTTAACGGTATCCCGCGCGGAAGGGCCACGATACGGTCCAACGTGTTCCAAAAAAACCTGGGCTCGCAGATACGCAGTCGTTCCCGCATTGTTCGTTAATCTATGTAAAATTGATCGATTAGCCCTCGTTCGAAAGCGTCGAACTCCGACGGATGGGAACTCCGGCGTCATTCGCGACCGATTTTTACTGAATGCTCTCGGGATCATGGGATAATTTGAATTCTATGCATAATTATTAAACCACTTACTGAAATTATTAAACTTCTACACCAAAGGGCAAGATGGACTCTTAGGCCAATCGCACACGGCGCAACAGATTTGAAATTAGTGTTCCAAACCGTTTGCGCTCTTTGTTTTACCTACTCTACTATCTTTGTTTTACCTAGATCCACGGTCGCATGCAACTAGTTTCAGAGTGGTTTGAAATTGATCAGTTGCGTCCGTGTGCGATCGGTCTTAATCTGTCAAAAGAATAACAATAACCAAAATTTGTTGGCTATTGAACTTGTGTGTATAGAATACAGGCTGTCCAAAAAATGTTGGAGACTCTTGAAGGGGTGGAGAGGGTTCGTGGGGTGATTTGAAACAACTTTTTCCTTAGCGAAAATGTTGTCCGAGGCTTCGTTACGGAGATATTCAAAGAAACGTTCGAATAAGAGCGCGAGTACCCCGTGGCGCCGGTGAGGCGCCCACAGTAGAATAGGTACGCGCTAGACAGCCACGGTCTGTAGGCTACGCGTTAGACAGCCACGGTCTGTAGGCTACGCGTTAGACAGCCACGGTAATAATTATTGATAATAATAATCTCTGCCAGCCTTGGATTATTTTTATTCTTTAGTAGAAAACAGTCAAATAGCAAAAGGATATTTGTAACGAAATTGGCCGAAATTTTATGTCGCGGGCTCTCGGACTATAATTATCTAACAAGAAACACGGAGAAATAAAACTAAAAAGAATGTCTTCCATATACCAACGTTGATGCGTAACAAACATCTTTCATTTCGCTTCTATTTTCAGACGAATTATAAAGTAATTTTGACGAGAAGCAACTCCACATTCTGCATTTTATTTGATTATGTAAATAATAGAAATAAAATCTCAGTTTTGAATTTATATCGCACAAACGTGTACACGCGCATCGACATCGGCGGTCTATTGATAAAGTAAATTGAAACGAATTTCCACGCGGGTAGCAAATAAATTTTATTCGACGAACGGGTAAACTCGGCCGCGTGCGGAGTTGGCGTTACAAACGAATTAATCGAATGTTAAAACGTCAAAAGCCAAAGGAGCCCTTGTTGGGAAGAAGTCTCTGCCAATAGCTGCGGTCGATCAAATAAATAAAAGTCGCGCTGGCGATTCGAAAAATTTCCCACCGCGTTCGCTACCATATTGATCGACGAAATTGAAACGTATCCCTCCCCCCCCCCCCTCCCCGCAGCAGTTAACGAATTTCATTTTGCGAATGGTAACCACGGCTATGTACAAGCTTTGCGTTACAAACGAATTCACCGAACGTTAAAACATGAAAAATCGAAGGATCCAAGTTGTAAAATTATTTCTATAATTCTGCTGTGTATGGTTAATCAAATGAATAAAATACGAATTGGTGTGATTCTAAAAATAATACCGATTAATTGAAAAGAATTTCCTTGGATCGTTTAACGAACGGTACTGTCTACATCGACGAATTTGCGTTGCGAACGAATTCACCGAACGTTGAAACATGAAAAATCAAAGGATCCAAGTTGTAAAATTATTTCTATAATTCTGCTATGTATGGTTAATCAAATGAATAAAATACGAATTGGTGTGATTCTAAAAATAATACCGATTAATTGAAAAGAATTTCCTTGGATCGTTTAACGAATGGTACTGTCTATGACGAATTTGCGTTGCGAACGAATTCACCGAACGTTGAAACGCGAAAAGTCAAAGGAGCCGAGTTGTAAAGAAGTCTCTGGCAGTAAGTCGGGCCGATCGAATAAATAGAAGGCGCGCCGGGTACGCTGCAATTCGAGGCTATACGTCGAGAGGAAGCGGTGCATTAATTTCGAGTTGCCCCTCGAATTTCCTTCAACCCCCGTACGTGTGAGCCAACACCGACGGACGACGTGGCTAGCGAGTAGCAGTTACCACGAGGTGTTCGGGACGGCTGGTAATTTGTAGGTAGATATACGATAGACAATAACACCGGTGAGGGGCGGCAGGGCCGACTAATTTGTTTATCATAACTTTATCTTGATTTATTGCCGCCACGGTGCTCGCTCGTTTCGTAACGCCAATCGCGCACGTTTGTCCGTGCTCTTTGACGTATTTACACGCGCATGAATTAAGGGGCGATTTCTGGATCGTTGGGGCAAAATGTAACCAATATTTGCGATCCTTTTTCTTCTAAAGTAGTGGAATTATTAATAGCGGAGTATTAATTGAACCGTTCACTGCACAAAAATTGATTAACTCCACTTTTTGAAAAATCTGAAATTTCAGTGTCGAAGCACTTTGTATAATTTTGATCTGTTATATTTGGAATAACTTTCCCGAGTGATAAAAGTTAACAGTATTATATAGCAAACAACAAAGAGTGTTAATTGATCATTTCTTTTTCCTTGATTTCTTTACAGTATAGCAATTCTTGCAATTGTGAAACATGGAAATTTTCTTATTTATAAGCTGTTGTTTATGTGCTTGTAATAAAAAGAAAACGTGGTCTTTTTACCAGGTACAACAACATTGATATTTATCGAGCCCGGCGTTACATTAAAATTCTCCTCTGTGTTGGCAAAATTTGTGTCCGAACTAAGCGATCAAACTTTTAAATTTATACGTAAAAATAAAAAAAAAGTAGCAAACGACGTTAAATCGAAGCAAGGACAGCAGCTGAAGAATTCATTTCTTTTTATTCTTGCGATCTTTCATCCCCTATTTCAAAATAAAACTCACCCATCCCTGACTCTCCTCTATCTCGATTATTCCAATCGTCGAAATAAAAGACTGGAACGATCACCCTTTAATATCGTTTCCAATCAAATTTCTCCAGGTGTCGCGTAAATCCTCGCGACTCGAGGGCTCGTTCCAAACGTGATTCATCGTCCTCATTTTGTCACGAGGTCCCCGAAACTATCGAAATTCTTGTATCGCGGAGTTAATTGGTCAGGGGTGGTTCATGTCAGGCGTCATTAGGCTCGCGAACGAAAGGTGCGACATATCCAGTCTTTTACACGAGATAAAGAGATATCGATTCGTCCATCCGCGGCTATCTTGTCCCCGACGAAACGACGGCGTTAGGTTTCCAGCGCCTCGCGACGAGTTTACTGCGGAAATATACGAGCGGCGAGCAGGTGGGACGACGACGATGATCCACGTGTCGTTTACCCCGGCAATGCTCGTAAAACACGCCGCCACGGGTTCCGGAGAGATCTTATGCTTGCCAGAAACGCAGGTTTGCTCCGTTAACGATTCGCGAGCAGAAATCGTACGGAATGATCGCGAAAATGAGAATTCGTTAAGGGCTAACGATTCCGTTAATTATGGTAAAACGATTTTGGATATTTTCGAGGAAACATAAAATTGTCGGTCGCTGGAGACGGTCGTTCATTCGAACTAATAGATCGATCAGAAAATTTTGAACTGTCGTATTTCGGCGAAAAAATGTCGTATTCACTTCTAGCCAAATTCAAACTAAATGGGCCGATTTTTCTTGTGTAATAAATGTTCGTCATCATCGTCAGAGGTTGTTAAATACTTATTTCGTTTATTGTTACTCTGAAGGTGTATTGATCGCGTCCCAATAAAAAATCCGGAGACTTTTTTGAACAGAGAACAACTACCTTTACGTTGGCAAGAAGTCTGAAGAAGTGATAGAAATTATTTCGTTAATTACTACTTAAGATTTCTTCAATAAATAAATGTTGCTAAAATTTTGATTACTTTTCGGTCTAGTATATTTAACGTGCTATAATCTGTAGATATACCAGTTCGAATACTTCCGTTACTCGCTGTATAATCGCAATAAAATTCAGGAAGCCGATTCCCGAGATTCGAAGGACCCTGCGTGTCCAAAGACCGAAGGAAATCGCTCGGGTGTTTGAATGGTTCCGTCTCGAGAGCGTTGAAGCTCGAACAAGCGTTAACACGATGCGTGTTAAATTGCATTACATCTGCTTATTAGTCACGGCACGGGCAAGCCGCGTGCGACGTTGAAAAGGCAATCGTGTAATACGTCATAATTTCCATAGCGTGACTGGACACTCCTCCGGTGCCCTTCGTCCAACATCGCGTTAACACCTATAAATGGGAATTTATTATTTTCGCGGGTCGTCTTGGAACACCTTCCCTTGTTCCTTACACGTGTTCCGTAATTAAATACTGATTAATCAGTAATTTATCGTGCCAGCGTTTCCATAACGAAGCCTGACGAAGGAAAGTCTCCCTTCGAAAGTTTTCTCGGGGCGACTACTGCGCCTTGTAATTATTCCTCGATTTGAACATTGAAAATTACTTATATCTCCATCTCGAATTTTATTTTTCCTCGCAGAGACTGCACTCGTACTTCACGAGTTAATGGAAATGTAACGTAAGACAGAGATGAGGACAATTCTTGTCTAGATGGATAAATTGAAGACTGAGGATTATTTATACCTCTGCAGGGCTCATTCCGCACGAAAAAAGTGATGAGAATATATCGTGTAATGAGTCAGAGGTGAGCAAAATTTGCATCAATGTAAATGCTTCGAGTAATGAGATGCTTTCGGTGCACCTTTCCCTTCGCTTCGATTAAACGCTGAGGAAGCTACGGTATATTTTTTATAACACCTGTTTCCCGGACGAAACGCAAACGAAAGTATAACATTTGTTTTACACACTGATTAACATCCTCGATACACATTTCAACATGAAAACCCGCGGGCCTCCCCCTGCGCGTTGAAACGCGATTATGCAAATTATTCTGCAATGTGGCTCGTAATGGCCAATACAAACGGTGTTCGCGTGTACAAAAATTGTAGAACTTCGAGACGAGATAATCCAGCAATCTTTGCGAAAGTTTAAAAGGAATAAATGTTTAAAATATTACTATTCAAGAGCGAAGTTTTGACGCATCCCCTATGTCGTTAGAGAAACACGCCTAACTCTGGTTGAAACGGGTTCGAGGTCGGCATCCAAGATCGCATTATCGCGACGGACGCGGCCGCTAATTGCGCGGCTGTTCGGATTATCTCGATTACTTTAATTAACCGGCGGTTTTGTATGAACACGCGCACGCTGTTCGCGCGCTGCGCGTATGCAAAACCCGGTGTCGCCAATTTGCTATTTTAATTTTTATGCTCGCCACCCATTAGCCGATGACCTCGTCACGTATCTCGCATGTTCGACCGATACCGTGGATTAAAGTGGACTGCGGGGGTCTCTAATTCCGTGGCGACAACTTCTGTACTCGGTAATAAAGGAGTATTTTCTCAGAAGTGTAAAAAGAATAATTTGAGGAGAAGATATACAGATAAATAAACGTGATGTGTAATTAAGGTTCAAAAGGAAAAGTTTAGAATGGAGATGAAGACTGAAGTATATTGGGAAAAATGAAAAGCAAGAAGAGCACAAGCAAAAGTACAGGCAAAGTGGATGCGAAGAAAAAGAATAATTTGAAGTGAAGATATAAAAAGAATAATTTGAAGAGAAGATATAAAGATGTGTAATTAAGATTCAAAATGAAAAGTTTAGAATGGAGATGAAGAATGTAGTATATTGGGAAAAATGTGAAGTAAGAAGAGCACAAGCAAGACTAAAAAGAAAGTAAAAGAGTATACAAGAAACAAAATATCCTGGGAAAAATAAATGTGTCGAAAGAGAATAATTAAAACAGGATATATAAAGAGAATAATATATAAGACACATTCCAACCTGAAAGTCTACTTCGAATACTTAGAATATTCTATTAAAAATAATCAAGTACGATAATATGTACTAGTGATTACATAGGTTACATAGGTAACCTTTTTCTATTGAACTATAACATTACGAAAAATTTCCTCCGATTAGAGACGACTTGCACCACTTTTCCTCCGATTAGAGACGACTTGCACCACTTTTCCTCCGAGTTGCTCAACTGTTCCTAGCCTTTCTATCGCAAGGGCGAACCAGTTGGAGCTCGATCGGAGTAGTAGAGCTAGAGTGTAACAGAAGTTTACGGTCACCGGAAGTTCATGCTTATTCACTGAGCACCGAAAGGGCGACCGGGTATAATTTACGTATAAATTAAGCGGAATGAATCAACGGCAGACGATTAATCGCAATGGCTTGTCCGTGATAATAACAATGCTCGGCTTGTTTACGAGCGGTAAACGAATATATTAGCGTTTTCATTATTCCGCCACGTGGACGCGTCTATCGTGCCAGCCTTTCGATACCTGGCCTTCTCCTGGCACTAATGATCGCCTTTCGTTTATTTTTTCCACGATTTTACTTCGTTGGACAACTGGTGCGACCAGAAAACCCAGAAATTTTGAATTTTACAGTTGTCTCAAATGAAAGTCTTATTTTTTTAACGGTATAACTAACGCGTACTTTATTTTTAATATTTTATACATCGTTGCATTCGTGGCACATTCTTATAGATTTCTCCATATTTTTATTAGCTATAAGTCCATCAAAAAATAAAAAATAGAACTTTCTTCTTTGGTTCAGAATAGCAGTTAATACGTGCCAATTTTTAAGAAAAATTCAAAGACACATTTAAACTTTGATATACGTTTATCGAATTATTTATTGGAATAGGCACCATCTCGATCCACGACCTTTCCATCTTTTAAGGGATGTTTGTTTCCAAGCATTCGAATTTCCAATTCGGATTTTTCTTAAAAATTAGTACGAACTTTCTGGACAACCCAATATTTAGTTCGTGTCAACTTTTTGTGCCCGTATGACATACTAAATTATTTGAAACGTTTCAGTTAACGACACGTATTTCACTGAGGCATATTTTGCTATTCTTGGAGAACCTTAGTTTCGAGAATCTATAGTTTCGATAACCTTCCAACGATCGAAAACCGTGAAACGATTCGTGACGATTCGATCGTTCGTGGAAACAACGCGTATTCTCACGGGTTCGTAGTGGCGGGGGTGCGGAGCAGGGGTTGGTAGGAATAAAAAAA